ATGTTGTGCGCATGTGCATGCGCGTGGGGGGTGCCATTTTGGAACGCCCAACGGCACCAAGCGCATTTGCCCCGCGCCGTTGGACATTCCAAAATGGTGCCCCATGTCGCGTGTGCATGTGTGCGATGCGGAGCACCATTTGGGAAGGCCCAACGGCGCCGACGCTGTGCGAATTCGCACAGCACCGGCACCGTTGGGTGTTCCAAAATGGCGCCTGCCACCGTGCGCATGCGTGCGCAAGCATGGCCAACATTTTGGATGCCAAAATGGCACCTGCACTCGCGTGCGACGACAGGACCAGGCAGTGTAAAGTAGTTTACAATGTGTAAGCCAATTCCCCCCAATAAGCTGGAGATTCATTTTAGTGACTTCGGAAGGATGCAAGGCTGAGTGGACCCTGAGCCCCTGGCTGGGATTGAGCTCACAACCTTGTGGCTTGTGAATGAGTGGCTGCAGTAGAGGCATTGAACCACTGCATCACCAGGGTTCATGAAAGGCAAAGAAATGAAGCACTGATGTGTCCAAAATCTCTACACCTGCCTTGAACGCACTACTCCCAGAAATGTCTTAAAGACAGGTGGGTTACCGAGGGATTGCATGGATCTCAAAGGGGAGCGGGTGCCGAGTGCCCCCCAGGATGTAATCCAAACTGACCCCTTCTGCTCCTTCTGGCAGCTGGAACCTGAAAGCGTGGACCAGGCTGGAAAAGAATAAGAAGAGCTCCATCTGGGCTAGCGATTCCCCAACGCATGTTCGGCGGCCTGGAAGGAGATGTAGGAGAGTGGAGTTATTTTGGGGAGAAGGTGGGTTACCTGAGGTTTAAGAAAATCCCAATGACAACATTTCAAACCAAATGCAATCCTCCTGTGTTCCAAGTGCAGTCCTACTGTGGCAGGACGGTTGGTTTTTACTTTAGACTACATATGTTATTCGGAGACTGGATGGTGCAATGGTTTGAGCGTTGGACAACTGTGGATACCAGGCTTTGAATCCCCGCTCGGCCATGGAAACCCAATGCGTGGCCATGGTCAAGTCACACTGTCTCAGAAGATAGTAATAGCCAACCTTCTCTGAATAAACCATGCCAAGGAAATCCTGCAATAGGGTTTGTTTGTTGGTTGGTTGGTTGGTTTAAAGCATTTCTGTATTGCCTCCAAGGCCAAAAGGGCTCCCCATGTGATGAACAAGTAAAAATAATGAAAATAATTTGTTGTTGTGTGCCTGCAAGTCATTTCCAACTTATGGCAACCCTAAGACAATCCTATCTCAGGGTTTTTTGGCAAGATTTGTTCAGAGGGGATTTGCCTTGCCTTCCTCTGAGGCTGAGAGAGTGTGACTTGGCCAAGATCAACCAGTGGGTTTCCATGGCCAAGCGGGGATTCGAACCTTGGTCTTTATAGAGTCACAGCCCAACATTCAAACCACTAGACCACACTGGCTCTCAAAATAATGCAAAGATAAACATGTTTTGAAATGCATTAAAATAGTCTTTAAAAATTCCTAAAAATCAACTAATAACAATCCTAAAGTCCAGTTTTAAAACACTTAAATAGAGCACCTTCACTAACACGAAATGCTACATGGAAAAGCAAGCTTAAGAGGAGAGAGGGAGGAACAAGTCCTTGGGATACACAACAGGGGTCCCAAACACACTGCAGAAATAATCCACTTTGAGACCGCTTTAACTGCCCTGGCTCAAAGCTAAGGAATCCTGGGAACTGTAGCTTTGTGAAGCCTTTACCCTTCTCTATCAGAGAGCTCTGGGGCCACAATAAACTACAATCCCCCGGATTCCCTAGCATTGAGCCAGGGCAGTTAAAGCGGTCTCAAACTGGATTATTTCTGCAGTGTGTTTCGGACCAGGGCCTCTTCTGAAGAGCTCAAATTTCTTGCAGGCTCATATGGGAGGAGGCGGTGTTTCGGATATCTTGGCCCCAAAGTTTAGGGGTTTGTAGGGGGCGAAACACACGGTCCCAATGAAGTGGCTTCGGGCCGCTTTGGAGGTGTGCCGATTAGACGACGCATGCCTCCAAAGTGGCCAGAAGTTGTGCTGAAGTCGCACTGTGGT